AAAGAAGGCAATTTTCGAAAGTTTGCTAAACACTTCGTAAAATACGCCAAACCCAATAAAGAAAACCCGGCTTTATTACTTCACGATAACCATGAATCGCACTTGAAATGGAATAGAAAATAAATAAATAGAATAAATCGTCTATAGATATGCTTGATTATTTCAAAGAAAGCGGTCATAAGATAGAACAGTTGCAGCCTCTAAATAGAATAGTTTATGGACCACTAAAGAAATATTATAATCAAGCAAGCGATAATTGGTTAGAAAGTCATCAGGGAAAGAATACTACTTTTTACGACATACGTGAGTTGGTAAAAATATTGTCATTAGCAGCTACGATTGATAATATCCAATCTGTATTTCGTGTGACTGGGATATCACCATACAATTAAATTTATTTCTTGAATCAGAGTTTAGCAGGTCATATGTAAGTGACTGGCCAGCACCAGATAGCTTTCCTGCACTAACAGCATCGGTTACTGGCAGCGCTGCACCATCACGTGAAGTAAGCATCCCAACCGATACATGTACTTCACCTAACCAGGATGATGCTGTTTATTTGGAAATTATCACACCATCGACTTCAAATGAGTTAAGCGAGGTGCCTTCTACTTCTGATGAGCTCTTAATAACCGATATAGATTGTGGAATCAAAACTGAAAAAATCCAATAACCAATGAATATATATACATATGATGAGTATGTATGCCAAGCACATCTGACTTTACCTGAAGATATCAGACCCATTACGAAAGCTGGACTACGTTTAGAAAATGAATGTCCGAAAACGAAAAAGCACTATTTACACAGATACACCGGTAAAAGAAAATCTTATGCAACTTAAGGCAAAACAACGTCCTAGTCAAACGTTAACCAAGAAAACAAAGAAGCCAAAGACAACAGCCGGGACACACAAAATATGTAAACACGAATAATTGTTGTATGAATGCAAAAATTGCATTCATACAACAATTATTTGATTTTGAAGTTTGATTGAATAGTATGATCTCAAACTGTTACCAAATAATAAATATAATTACATAGATACATATGATTATTTTTTACCAAATGGTTAAAGTTTATAAGAAGTTGTTTAGTTTTCTTTTAAATAGTTAATAAGAAAGTACTTTGTTTATTTTTAGTTACTGATATTGCCTAATATTTAAGCGTCGAATTGCTTTCTTATAATTTGAATTTCGTTATGTTTAATTGAAATAGTGTAAGATTGCCTAATGATTTCAATAAATTAAATTTTTGTGTCTTTTATACCATTTCCTTGTAGACTTAGCCCTTACAACCTCATAGGTCAACTTACCTAGTCCATAGAAAATAGTCAACCAACCCCAAGCATGGGGTTGTTTGTCTAGCCTTTCCTTTTGTACAAGAACTGGCCTGTATCCTTTATCATAATGAATAACGTGCTATTTGCCGCATTTTCCAAAGCTTATTAGTTAATCTATAAACTGGATCTATTTTCAAATAAATATATTCGAAAGGAATAAAAATAAGAACCTTTAAGCTGAAAATTGGCCAACCAACCCCGTCTTCCTAACTATCTAGAACATCTCTAAAATTTAAGACCATCTTTGTAAATATGTAATTGGTAATATTAGAGAACGCCTTGAAAACCATATTAATATTTGCTATAACATGACAGACCTATGTATATGATTAATTAAGAAATAATTTGATGATTTGAACGAAATCCTTGGATAGCTTCCTAATTGCTGTAGCAATAATGCTTCTGAATTATTGCCAAGACTAATCAATTCGTATGCGGATATGAAAAACTGTATATCTCATATGTATTTGTGTAACTGTCATTCATAATATCTATTTATTTATCATATACATAAGAATATTACTGAAATTTAAACTAAATAAATACATAAAAATATACATAGTTACAAATTAGAAATAGTAGCAAGAAACAATTGCATTAGATATTTGAATATTTTTCATTGTGAATGTAAAATACAGTTTAAACAATATATTTTACATAAACACAAATTATTATTTCTTAAGTTAAAAGTATAAAATCACATGTATTTAGTCATATATCATACATACATTTTCATATTTATGAAATATGAACTACAAATGTAATGCAATAAATTGTTTTAAATTATTACTTTTGTATTGAAGTATTGTTGCTGTAGATATGACGTCTCATAGTAGAAAATGTAAATTTTGTAATAATTTAATGATTACATTAAATTCACGATTTTGAATTGCTAAATAACATCCATTTATATAAATAATCAAGTCACAAATAAGTAATTAATATAATTGAATGTAGAAACTCTTTACACAATTGGTAATAACATGGTCTGATGTTGAGGATGACTAATAGAGGTACTAATAGAGGTTAACTAGTAGTAGGTACTCATTACCATGGACCATTTTGCATCAAAATTTATAATTTACTGATCATTACAGTTATGAAATGTCACATCTATAGCAATAAAATGACTTATCATTACCTAATAATGCACTACGGACGATAATGTTGGTCATGTTGTCCTTATTGTGCGTAATGTACAATAGCTGTTGTATAATATCAATTAGCATATAATATAAAGCTCTGATTTTCGGTTTGTCACAACAATATCAAGATCCTTTGGGTCAAAAAATGGTTTGACATGGAATCTACTCAAACAATTGTTATTAACACTATCTACATTAATGTAATCATAATAAATAAGTCAATTCTGGATAATATGAATTAGGACTTCCTAATTCTTGAATTAATTAGAAGTGTAAGAATTGCGAGAACAGTGAACAACTGATTTACTTTATCTTATTTTTTAGTTACTATCATTAGATTTAATCAATTCAATTAACTTTGTATTCAAAATTGCTAATTCAATGTTTTTTTTCTCTATTTATTTGTTATTTAATTCCATGTTATTAACAAGAAATATCCAAATTAATATGCAATAACGTGGAGTTACTAAAATCACTAAAAAAAGAAGTTATGCAACAGTCATTGTATAATATTCTAATCAAATAGATATTTACAAAACATGTATAAGTTTAAATTAACCCGACAAGCATGGTTGTAGCCAATTTTACATTACATTGGTGCTATTTCAAATGTTCACTTGAAAACTTGTTTTGCAAATAATATAAATGCATTATTTAAGATAATAAACAAATATGATCCAGAATATTATTATACATCCCTAAATTATTTGTTTATCGCCCACTTTGTAACTGTACAGTTTTCAAGTTCTGAGTCATCAACATTATGTGTCAATTACAGTAATTGTTATATACTAAAAGATATAAGTCTGATTAGTAAATATGTTTCAGGTTGCGACTTAATGTTATCTTTTGTAAAGTAAAATTCTTATCTTTATATGTCTCTGTTAACATCCAAGTTACTCAAATGATACTTTATTTATACAAAATTATAATGCAGCATTAACCTCATTTAAAGCAACTTGGGGATTAATTGAATGAATTTTTATAAATTTAAAAAGAAAACAACTGTATAAATGTAATTATCAGTTGTAAAGAAAAATGGATTATCATAATGCACCTTATGTCTCAAATCAGAGTTCCCCAGTCATTAGAACCCGCCCCGAAAGACAAAGAGTAGTTGGTCTACATGGTAAAATGCCGCGAGGGCGGGTACTTTTTAACTATTTCCTTTGAATTCTTCAACATACGCAACAGTTAATCATTTTTCATCTACTATGTCAAATAAAACGAGAGATCAACTTAATTTACTTTAATAGTAATATGTATTTATTAGATAAGTTGATATTTTCTTGAATGTCATATAAACACAATTTAGTATAACATTAAATATCTTTAAATAAAATAAAAAAACAAAAAAAAAGGTAGTGAGTCATAATATTTATCTTTGGTTTATATACCTGTCTAGTGCTGGCGTGTAATTAATACCAAAATAACAGGCCAGATTTTTCATGCACATTAGTATGCATGACTACTGTTGTGGTACTTGCTTTCCGAACTTGTCCTTCAAAAGTATGTAAAAATTATTGGTATACTATAAGTATGTAATACATACAATATAAATAAAAGCTTTTTCATAACAAAATCATAATAAAGTTAATGTTTGAAAAGACATTAGTATACTAAACACTTTTTACCTAATGGTATAAGAATCTTTGTCCTGACATATGGACTGACTGACAGTGCACAGCCTAAACTGCTGAATTTGGTCGAAGATATGAAATTGTACCAATAACAGATTTTTGGAAATTAACCAACTTTAAATAGAATGAAAACATTTGCATGAAAGCTTTTGTTTTTGGTACCTATGTAAGTGTTATTTTATCCCAAAAACCACCACTCAAAGGAATGAAGATGGGAGTGGAAATAAATTCGCGCTGTTTTAACCATGTATATGTGTAATAATAGCTCATAGCTATTCTATACTAAACGTCAGAGCTGAAAAAAACTACTGCTAGTTTAATTAAATCGAGCAAGCAATTGTGAGACATAATTCTCATTAACTATTTATTTATGAGAGACTCCACTGAACAATTGAATCCAAGTGATGAGGCAAAAGTTACCACATATATTTTTTGGCCTTTAGCCGCTCCGATTAATTTATCTAGACAGGTATAAAATGAAAGATAATGAAAAAGTCCCGTTATTGCTGTTTGGGTACAGAAACCTAAAAATGTTTTCTGATTAATGAAAGTTCCAATAACGTTTTCTTATACCATAAACAAAAAATAAAAGGAATTCTTAAGTTATATAGAATTTTTAAGCATGATTATATTTATGATCAGATGACATAAAACGATATATTGTTAAAAGCAGATGAAATAAGTATTGTTTATTATACAATCAGTATCATTTACGTAAAGCATTTACAGCAAAACTTTTTTTTTTAAATGGTGTATTTTAATAAGTTTCATAGTAAAACAACTATAGAAGTGAATCATTAACTTACACATTATTTATAGTCATTTAATTTAATGTGACTTTATATAGTTAAATAATATTCGTATCTTTTTTATAGATACTTTATTAAAATTCATCTTGTATTTGATATAAATACAATTTAACGAGTAATTACAGTGAAATTATTTCCCAGTCTAAAATATATGTCACAATACTATTGAAACTAGGATACCATAAAACTATGCTAGAATGTTGTGTCAACTTATGCTACTTCTTTACACTTACTACTCGTAAGGAACATTGGTTAGGCTAAAGGCTTCTACAAAAGCTCAATCATCTGTACACACTGTATGAATATAAATCTGCTTATATGGAACTCACTTTTTTTGTCCTTAACATAGTACAATCTGCTGCAGAATTACCAGCCAATCGCGCCAAGCCCGATGCAGCTAATACTAAGTACATGACTATAGTGATCTGGTGCAAATAGCCTTAACACCACTAAGTAATCTGTGTGTGTAAACACACGTCTGCTGTTGACTAAACGAGACGAAGTACTACTTTATCATTGTAGGTTGTTTCATTTTGTTCAGTTTCATCTTCCTCCTAAAAAAAAAACAAACCGTTTATATGTACATTACAATAAACCGCAATAACCACTTCAAAGGAGTACATAGGAGCTTGTTTTTCAATAATAATTTGATAATATTTATGATAATTTGATAATTTCACTCTCTTACCAAAGAGAACATGAATTTATATAATATTATAATTTAAGCTAATTAGAAATAAGATAATCATAAGTAAACTTTAATAATATTCAAATAACAGAAATACATATAAAAAAGCATTTTTTTTAAATAGTGAATTAATTGCAAATTATTTAACTGTGTGTATTTACATAGTTTTATTACAAAATATTTTGACACTTACATCAAATCCAAAGCAGGACTCTACATCTTTCTCTAGTTTAATTCTGTTCTCAGATTCAGGTTGCCGTTTCATCTTTATTTGCTCTTCTGTTATATATTTCTTTTCTATTTCACCTTCTTCTTCTTCCTCTTCTTCTAAAACGACAAAAAAGTAACAGATGTATATACAGAACATTTTTAAAAACTCATGAGCATGTTTGAAATCTTTAAATACACAAGAATTATGTTAGAAAATATTATGTTAGCTTAAGCCCACAACATATCTATAATCAATTTGATATTTATTTGTATCACTGCTAATGATATCCCAGAATGATGATATGAGTAATCAACATTGCAGAGTAATAATTGTATAAAATAACTTATATTTGATACTACAAGAGTAAACTTAGGTCCAATGTAACAATGTTATTGATTTTAGTCACTAATATTTTTAATTGAAATGTATCATATTCTGAAGTAATCACATCACCCCAATGAGACCATGGGACAGTTAAGACACTAATTTGACATACTAGTAAAATGATTTGGTGTCCTGAGTGAGAATTTATAATATTGTCTTTACACAACGAAATGTAGAAAACTTAATTCACATTCAGAAGGTATGCATGTAAGAAGCAGTTTAGCAGTCTAGTATAATATAATAAATACCTTGATCGTCCACATAGTCAGGTGCGACGACGGCCACTTGTTCGGTGCCATCCTCTAGTTGTATCACCTCAAGCACTACGTATTGATGATGATCGCCGTCGGTCACAGTTACGAGCTCACCGCGTCGCAATTCATTCATCAACTGTTCACGTTCTACGGTTGGTTCATTGTCATCTTCACGAGTCTAAAACGAAGTAAGATTTAAATTACACTTAAGGTCATTTTCTACATAGGGCCGACCGAGAATCTAATCCGATATCTTGAAACCGTTAAACAAGCCACTAGGCTATAGATTGTCAAAAGGTTATCTTTATATGATAAGCAAAAATTAGGCTACATTAGTAGAAACTATTTGGTGATATGTATACTTTTTATAAACAAACCAAGGTTTGGCAAAGCATATAATATTATTTTCTTTCTACGCCCTATTTTTGTCCTCACTGCATAAGCAACAAATTTATAAGTATTATGCTGTAACGTTATAAACAATAGCAGGTCATTCATTGACCAAATCTAAAAGACCCTGTCTTTTGCCAAGACAACTGCATAAAATTTTTATTTTTGATTATTGTTAGGGACTTAACTGCATTAATCGGACGCCCGCACGGTTCCATACAAATACATACTGTTAACAAGCACGCACAGGTTTTTATGGCAAAAATGGTTTATGTGGGTCGCACGCTTGGAGGAGAGAAAGATGTATTTCAATAGACAAAGGTCAACATTATAATCGCAAGAACTGAATCGAAGACACTGAGTATTCTAGTCTCCGTGATGGTAGCCGCGGCGTAATCTCGAGATGTGTGTCCGTTGCGGGCACCAGCTTAACGCAGTTTAAGTTTAACATCATCAGTAACAACTTCTCTTATAAAAAATTTTAAACAAACATTGTTTGTTTTCCTTTTGCATAAATCAAAATTTTATTGAAATAACAATTACATAAAATATATATTTATACAGATATTTTTCGCTGTGCAAATGTGACAAATTAAATTGTGGCTCATTTACAATGATTTTAATTGAATCCGCATGCGGGGTGCGGGCAAATTCTGTGGCTCATTGGTTTGTCAACCGATAAAAATAGAATTTAGAGGTCAATCAACCAAATTCACTAAAAAGACTATCTAATTCTTTAAATACTTTTTATTATTTGTTTAAAAAATATTGTTGTGAGTAAATATCAATATTTGTTAATAAATACTACTCTTTCAATATTATAAACTTGTATAACTTGGAACTTGACAATAATGGTTATTGTCAAGTTCCAAGTTTGGCTTTGCATAAATTTTAATTAAAAATCTTTGTTGTTGATATATTGAATCACAAATTTTACATATTATGTATTGCATTCGCATTGCGCTTTGCTTGTTGTTAGTTTCTGCATGCATTACTTAATATATAAACACCCTTATGCAAAATTATAGAATTCCCCGTCTGATATAGTACAAAACGGTTTTACAAAAGTGAATCTAATCTTTATAGTGATGTACACACACATATTAAATACACAACTATGAAAGCTAATTGCCTATCCGACACAGTTGTACTGGTTTTAGTGCAACTTCATTTAAAAATACTAATCTATTATAGTTTTACTCGTTCCCAAAGATTGATGGTGCATAGTTAATGCATTCAGTTTACGGTACGGTGGTTAAGCCTTTCACAAGGGCCAGTTATAGAAATTTATCATATTGATCTCCATCCTTAAGCCGGTGGTCATGGCTGCGTCTGTGGTCTTATGACCTATTTTATATGTCATATCGGGACATTAAAAGGTTGATTATGACGATGAGAGTAACACCATAACGATTACAGTTGCAAATTCGCAACAGCTGGGCTGTGCAGAAGGTCATATACTGACTATTCTATATTTGACTTTAGCATATAAAACATTATCATGTGATGTCTTCACAGGCTTAATGGCATAGTTTAAAGTAATATGTTATAAAAATAGACTAATGATTCAAATAAATAGCTAAAAAAATAAAGCAGGTGTATAATTTAGTTACCTGTACACCATCTTCTACATATTTGATTCTTCTCTGGCGGCCAAGTTTAAGTTCCAATGCACGTTCTTGATGGCCTGATTCAGGGTCATGTACAGCCAAGTGTCGAATAAGGTTGCCTTTATGTGCAAAAGTGCGCTGGCATTCATGACAAGTGTGAGTTTTCTCTTTGGGAGGCTTTGGAACGTAGTTAGGGTTGTGATAGAGGTTTTGATGCCGTCGTAGTAATTGCTTTTGCCTGTAGGTTAGATTCGGAAATTAAAGCATCAGTATTGGTTGTTTAATGATTCAGAAATATACAATAAATCAGAACTAATTATGTATTTACATAGCAATATTTAACAATTTCGTAGTTCACATTGTTATGGTGTTGCCAGCGATTCTGTTGCACAAACTGTACTAAAGGGTTTAGCCGGATACGTATGACGAGTCGGCCCCCAAATGGGAATCGGTATCGAAATAATTTAATATAGACTTGATGTTCAAACACGATTTATGTACTTTTTGCGACCGACTTCCGCTTTGACCTTGAGATAGAGAGCAAAATATCCGTATGCTTGACTTTTACTGAATGTGATATATCTCTGAAGCTAATTAAGATAAAGAAGTGAAACTAACGCGAGGTGTTAGGTTATATTACAGAGTATATCACATATATTTTTTTATAATTTTTAGAATAAAAAATTACATTAAAAAAATAAAAAATAAAAAAATAATGTTTTTTTTCTGAGTTCTCTGTGACTTACAATCACGAAATTAATATATGTTATGCTCCTTTGTGTGCTCTATCACCCATAAAAATTGCGTGAAAAAAAAGTTGGTGCAACACAACGAAAAAAAATTATATGTGATTCGCGCCTTGTAGTGTGAGTGTATAAACAAACAAGTTCGAACTTGTTATCGCGCTGTTTACTGCATCGTTTGTTTAGCTAAAGTCGCAGTCATTTGTATTACACAAGAAGGCAGTTTGGGACTCAAATTCTGTCATAGGTATTTTGTATCAGCATTTTGAAATTATTAACTATCGAACCAAATCATTATTAAGTAATAATGTCGAGAAAGTGTAAAAATTGTAACAAGTACCTGTGTAAGATTCCTGGTTATAAAAAAATAATAAAGAATGAAGAAGAAGAACTAAAGTGTTTAGTGAATAATTGAATAAAATCGTAATAGTTAATGATATTTTTTGTAAGAAGTGTCGACTTATCCCATATGTTAACAAAAAAGCTTCTACTTCTAAATGTGCAGCATTTAACTTGGCCGAAATTATGGACGATCAAAATAATCTCTCAGTACAATATGTGAAATCAGCACCTATTATCATCAAAGCAGAAGTAAAATCAAGACATATAAATAGAAAAGTCTATCGAATTTACATTCACTATATTTCCGAAGGTAATGACTACAATAGTATTCTTCGTTATTGCTGTGATTGCAATGGCGAACGTACAGTGGGATGCTGTTCTCATGTAGCAGCTATTATTTATTATCTATCATATGGATGATATTTGTCCAAAATCGTACGTCCTGCTGAGGTCCTAACTAAGTTATTTGCGACTCAAAGTGTTCCGATTGTTATTAATTACAACAGTGACGATGATTAATATTTTGTTTCTTGTATTTTGATAGACACGAAAAAGTAATAATAATAAGTATTGAACACTGGCTGTTTTTTTTTTTCATTTCTTTTTTAACTATTATCCCATCTCTTAAGACTAGTTACTTATGTTTTAACACAAGCTGATGTGAAATTTCGAAAGAAAAACAATGACCATAAGACAGAAATCACATATAATTTTTTTTCGTTGTGTTGCACCAACTTTTTTTTCACGCAATTTTTATGGGTAATAGAGCACACAAAGGAGCATAACATATATTAATTTCGTGATTGTAAGTCACAGAGAACTCAGAAAAAAATAACATTATTTTTTTATTTTTTATTTTTTTAATGTAATTTTTTATTCTAAAAATTATAAAAAAATATATGTGATATACTCTGTAATATAACCTAACACCTCGCGTTAGTTTCACTTCTTTATCTTAATTAGCTTCAGAGATATGTCACATTCAGTAAAAGTCAAGCATACGGATATTTTGCTCTCTATCTCAAGGTCAAAGCGGAAGTCGGTTGCGAAAAGTACATAAATCGTGTTTGAACATCAAGTCTATATTAAAACATAAGTTTCGATATCGATTCCCATTTGGGGGCCGACTCGTCATACGTATCCGGCTAAACCCTTTAGGGTCAATCTTGGGAAATCTGCATTTTCACTTATGAAAATAACTAAGATAACAGAGGTAATCTTAGTTAGTATATTATGTATATAGCATGTTATATTTCTTTGATTTACATGTGACCACTGAATAACGTTAATAAGATTGGTACAAAAAATGGGCGCCATAATCTATTATTGTGCATGACATGTAACCTGACCTGAAAGATTGATCGCACTCGTCGCAATCAAATGGTTTTTGATCAGTATGCTTCAACATGTGAGATTTGAGGTGCCTCATGGTAGTCGAGGCGTATGGGCACAAGTCGCATTTGAAGCATTTTTCACCTTCGTGAGTCTGTGGAGAGGTTAAAGCGTTTGTTTAATTATTCATAGTTTTGAAAACTGTGTATGTAAAGTAGTGTATGTGGGAAACGGAACAGAGGCAAATTTGCTTACAACCATTATAGGTATACTGCTACAAGTAAAGAGGTGCCTATGTGCGGATCACATATAGATATAAACTGTTTATATTGGATCTGCAAGTACTCAAACGCGAGTCTGAGATCACAGTTATGTGTCTTTTATTGCGAAAAATAAGTGTGCGTAAGGTTTCATTTAGTACAGTTAACATTTTTTTTTTAATCATCCATGTAGGAACTCCGGAGTTTTAAAATTTTTATCCCATTTATCAACTTGCTTTATTAAACTAACATATATATTTTGATTAAGAAAAAAGAAATATTTGTTAAATAAATAGAAATTAAGAAATGTTCAAGTTAATTTTTAGAAGTTTTGTTAAATTTAATGATTATCAGTTGATCAAATGACAATCCAACCAATAACAGAATACATATTTTGGTTATTTCATTTTGTTCTTGTGTCAACCCTACCTAATATTATTATTTTGCACGATCTTTGGTCCCTGTTCCGTTTCTTTACAGCTGTGTTGTAAGAGAGGGCAAAGTAAAAAATAACACAATTCACACCTTATTGTGCACTTTGCAGGAATATCTATCTGGGAAGGTTTTTCCACAGCGATTGCATTTTAGAGGCTTGTCAGAAGTGTGAAGTTTTTGAACATGAACCCGCAGATCTGTCTTACGACCACACTTTGCTGGACATAATTCACATGCATACACAGGCTTCTCTGAAACTGTACAAATACATCTTGATATACCAGGGAACTGATCAACAACTAATGTAAATACTACTCATTATACCTCATTAGTTTAACAAAATCTTTACAGGAAAATTTTGTAATCATTGCACTTTAATATTGTATTTGTTGCTATACCTGGAGAATGATAACCGATTTTTGTTGATACACTTACAGTTGGTTTATTATTATTAAAAAGAAAAATATATTAAGTAAACATAGATTATCACCATTAAAATATTTCAAAAAAAAAACCCTTTGCCATAGAAAAAATTGTGCACTGATAGTAAATTTATCTATGAAACTTACTGTTATGTATTAATTTGTGTGCTTTGAGTGAATTGGATTGAGTGAAGCACATGTTGCAATCATCGCATTTATAAGGTTTCTCGCCAGTGTGGGTACGCAAATGCCGTTTCAACTTGAAAGTATCCGGAGATGCGTACGTGCAATTTGGACACTGTATAAACGAGAAAAAAAAATTAATTAGAGGCCATCTAAAAATGTCATAATATAAGGTGGCATCCATATTGTACGAAAGGACAGACTCCCCCTATTCTATCATTATTTTTGAGAAACTAAAAGAAAAACATATGAAAATGGTTTACATAATTAAATAATTAGAAATACTAAAACAAGATACATTTAACATTCTCGTTTTCTGTAGAGGGTTTACTGTAGTGCCCAATATTTTATTCCAGTTGAATTATATGTCACCTGATAAGGACGCTCGCCAGTATGACAACGGACATGTCGTCGTAGTTTGGACAATTCAACAGAAGCATAATCACATTCCGTACACTTGTGAGGCTTCTCATGAGTATGCTTGTAGCGGACATGACGAACCAATTCACCTGGTGGAAAACAAAATATGCCAGTTATATTATTTGATTAAGTAAAGCCAGTAAAGAATGATTTACTATATTTGCTAATGATTTCACTTTAACGGATAATGCCGCCCATTAGTAATGTTGAATAAATCCTGTAGCAAAGCGCAATCTGTTCTCATTCTCTTGAATTTGTTGTGGTATACAAATGTTGGAGTAAATGTTTGACATGTAACTCTGGCTTTGGCAGTGTTATTAGTAGTTCTTACTTACTTAAAGTATATTAGTATACTAGTGTAACATTACTTTTAATTACATTGTTACATAAAAAAAATAGCTACAAAAGGGATATGTTAGTGTTCTGTTATCACCAACAGCACAGCAGTGTTTGAACTCTGAGTCTATAACAGGTAAAATGATTGCAACCATAATAAAACAATATTTTATAAAATGTTATGTGGATGATATTTTTTAATGTTTTTATTTATTCTTGATTACTTTGCAAAACGTCTCTCTGACATTATTTGTTTACTTAGCATTTCAATATTTACAATTAATTTAGTAGAATATAAATAATAATATTAAGCAAAAGAAAACTCAATTATTTGCATGTGTTGCTTACACAATGAATTGTTAATTAAAGATCTGGATGCATTTATTTATAAACATGTGTTTAATTTAATCATCACAAAACCTCGACTAGTTACCTAAGTATGAAATTTATTTAGTTTTGTTTTTTTTATTATTTATTGTTTTTTTGTTTGTGATTTGAATTAAACCATTATCAATTTTTTTGTTTGTATTGTACAGACTTTGTTTATGCATTCCCATGCCAATAACACCGTGCAGACACATTTTTGAGTTACAGTCTAGGACTAAACTATTCTATTTATTAAATGTACATTGATTTGATTGTTAGTACTATAACATGTAAATAAATAATTTACCACTGATTAGCCTTTAATTAGCAAATATAATAAAATACATCCTTTTGTCTGTTGCCAAGTATCCTATTTAATTGTAATTAATATTAGAATAATAGTTATTTCCAGAATTGCTGCCATATACCTTATTTTTATGGAGTCCTGGCTGTTCCAAGCACAATAAGGAGTATATAGATCATGATTATTAACATAACAGTAATAGGAAATAACTATTACTCTAATGTTAACGAGCAAATCCATGCAAATTTATCAATATATATATATATCAATATGTACTGAAACTCACCTGATGTAGTGAAGGGACTGTTGCAGTACTTGCAAACATGAGGTTTTACGCCATTGTGCATGTTCACATGATTCTGTAGTGAAGCGATAGTCTTAAAGCCTCGTTCACACACCCCACATTTATGTGGACGCTCCTCCGAATGAGATTTCATATGCCGTAGGAGTAAATAGCTGCAGGAATCAAAAGCAAATAGTACAAAGTGAAAAAAATCACACACAAAACCAATATTTATAAGTAACGAATAGTCTACTGCTGCTGTAAAATGAAATCCTAAAATTGAAGCTACTTAAAATCTGTTAAATACTATAATTAATTACCGTCTATGACTTGTGTAGCTGCAAAAAGTACAGGTAAAATGTGGTCGCAAATACTTTCGTTTAGTGTTTGGTGTAGGTTTTACTTTGCCAGTTGTTTCTTCATCTTCACCTGATGCCTCCTCACCGCCTTCTTCATCATCTTCAAAAGTGTAAACATCTTCATTCCCCTTATCCTCATCTTCTTGTAGCTTATCCTAATAATCAATTACTCTGTGCTTAGAATCAATTACAGTCAAATGATGACACAAAAACGGACTTTAAAGAACTAATAAAAGAAAACAAAAAAGTTCACATTTTATAAAGTTGACTCATTATTTCATTTTGATGGTGTACAAATATTTATAGTTACCTCATCCATCTTGATACCAATTTTTACATCAGTTTTGCTATCCTCTTGTACTACCAAAACATAGCTCACTTCTCCAGTACTAGTCTCAGATGGTACCAGAGCTACAGTTTGATACCCTTCACTATCTACTAGCATTTGTCCTTCAGCCATTCCCTGGGAGATTCAAAGATATACCACTCAACTTTATTATATTAGATAAATATTACATTTACAGTCTAGTAATATGCTCATAATACTTTAAAAATTTAACCATCTCATATGCATAAGACAGGCAACATTACTTTTCACTGCTCACAGCGTCACATCACAAGGTCATTGGTTCAAATTCTATTGGACCAGGGGCCTAACTATCTAATTTTAAAATCTATCACTATAATTCTTAAACATATAATGGCTGTGATAGTTATTTATGGAATTGAATATCTTTTCAAATCACATGTTAAATAGTTGTAGTATGGAGTTTGCTAATGTCTTTTAAACGTTTAATTCAACATGATCTGTGAAATATTTATTTAGACGTCATTAAGTCATATACATATGAGTTTTATAATTATATAGAAAATAAATGTGATTTTATTTTTCTATAAAATAAATTATATACGATAAATTATTTCACAACAATACCTCATTTTCATTAGTAACTGTAGTGGGCAAGGAGACAATACTCTGATTGTCACCTGCTGGCTGATAATAATAACGTCCTTCTTCATCAACAAAATATGTGACACCATTGTCAGGCTCCTCTTCAGGTGTGCTGTTTACTATTAAAATATAAAAAAAGTATTTAACAATTAAAATAAACTTAAAACACAATATATTAGTGCAGATATATTACCTGTAATCATTGTAGAGTCAGTTATATATGTTTGCACAACATTTTTGTTTTTCACTTTTTTGTCTGGAGGCATGACTATAACAAAATAAAACAATGATTATTGAAACAGGAAACTTAAAAATATGAAGCATTTAAGTAACTTTACATTATAATTTGTAATTTTACCACAATCAATTATATTTTTTGTTACAACAGCTGATATATGAACTGTAGCCAATATTTAACGTACTTATGATAAATTATAATAGTAAATCATACTATGGAACACCTCATTTCAACATTTTTATAATGGCAAGGCAAGCAGTGTCTTGGTTAAGTCAAAAATAATGAGGAAACATTTAATAACATACTATTGATATTTGTAGGCACTCTTTATCCACATCCCATATTAATCATCTAGTTAGTTGGCTACAAACTTTTACTGAATCATGAATGTAATGACTCAAACAATCACCATGAACTAACCTAATATCAGTATAGGTAACAGCTATTGATAGTAATCGAAAATTATATATTGGCAATAATATATATCGATCGGGAACTAAATAAAAAATTTTTTCACACAAATGGAAAGGCATACCAGGGCATGCTTACAGGTTCCACCAGACACTAGAAATGTCCAGTAGCCAGTAGGTACATGTTAAGGTGCATATGAAAGGACAAAATACAAATCTTCCTTTAGGAAGCAAAAAGAAGTTAAGACTTACTTTTAATATTGTTATCAAGATTCTGACGAAAAATAGTTCAGAGTGTTCGCATCCTAATTTGTTGAAATCATAGCCGCCATCTTATAACACACCACGAAATTTTTACATCATGTTACTGTACACTCTTAAGAAAGCCATAAATTGAACAAAATTCATTTATTATTGCAATCAACTACACACATCTATCAACAAATTACCGCCATAAACTAAAAACTAAGATTATTCATCACAGACGGCGCTGTCGTCAACCACAATTGGCGAAAGAAATCGCATAGAAATTGTTAAAGTCATGTAACTATGCCTTGTTGTTTCACTAACGTGTCCAATTAATTCAAATCGACATAAAGCTAAAACTACATTCTATTTTACAAAATATTTATGAAATAATGAAATCAGGAAAACTACCTGAATGGTTGAATGAAGCTACTTCGAAAATTTCTCAACGAGGGCGTTACAATCAATCCCAAAAAGCGATAGTGACGCCGAAATGGCGGCGATGGCAGCCAAGTGAACTACGAAAATGGGAACTTTAGCTTCAATGTTGCCATAATAATGCTTTTTACTTCATTTAGTAGAACTAGATGGCGTGGTTCAGCATTTAGCATTGACAAGATTTTAGATCATAGACAATTGTCTGAATCATTTGATAAGGGCCCTCTACATTATCGTCCATGATGGGCGATTATGAAGTGCCACACATAGAATTAATAAGTACCGTACTTATTAATTCTATGGTGCCACATAATTATTATCATCATTACGCCGTTGTCTACACGATCTGCCACCCCACATTTAATAATATAATCTCCATCTGAATTAACTACCACATTAAATAATATAGGCGTCGCAACAGTAGCAGCTGCCGCTGTACATTCATTTAAGGTTTATGATTTTTTGGAATGTTTATGCTATATGTATATAAAGTAAAAAAATATATAAAGAGACTTGCAGCCTTACTTATAAATGTTCAACGTCCTTAATAACTGTCAAATTGAGTAGTATCGCATCAAGTTTCTTTCAGATCAGGATCAAATTGAGTAGCGTCGCATCAAGTTTCTCTAAGATCAGGTCAAATTGAGTAGCGTAGCACAAGTTTCTTTAAGATCAGATTAAGAATTCACGAGATCATCGCCACCTTTCATTCTAATAACTCACTCAATTGTATGTTATACTTAATATAAAATACAAGACAATAAAATTTGTTCAATCTTTATTATTTAGAGTCGACAGTGTAGGTTAGCTACTACAAAAGGCCAAATTTGATTACTAAGTATTGGCTCTGGAATAAACTGATGTGATGCTCTATGTACAATGAAAAATTAAATATTCTGCGAAATTTTTGATGTATGAAATAGTGAGGAAGTATTTAAAAAAACGGAAGCACTAATAAAGCACCTCCACTAGATGGCGACTCTAGCAAAAGTTGATTATTGCAGGAAACGAATGGACCAAAGACAGTCATTTCTGTTCCTTTTAACTAACATAATAAACACTGAAATTTGAAAAGTTCGAGACTTAGCTATGAATACAAATACGAAAAAGGACAAATAGAATATGAGTTGTTTCTTGAGTTTTGAAACTAATTTATTTTTAAACTAGAAAGAAAACCGGAAAGGTTGTTATGGAGAAATCAAGAACGTACCGTAGCGACATCTAGTTTGATTTCGGGAACTAATGCTTTTTTTAAATACTACTTATTTAAATTGCTAATAAGTGTCCCTTAAATTCTGTCAATTTGTTTTTAAAAATAGTCTTATTAGTTAGGGTGCTGTGAGACGTCAGTTATTTAAAATATCTAACGAATAACTTAATTTAATTGATTTTCTTGTGGCCTTAGAAATTTCTTTGATGTTACGGAAGAACTTCGATATGGCCGCCTTTTTTGTTTCATCTTTCAAAATTAAAACCAAATTTAATAAACAAAAGAATAGTTACATGAACTATTTTTTTTGGCAAATGAAATTACGCCATTAACATAAATAATAAGGACACTATTTCTAATGAAATGTGCTGTTTATATAAAAAATAGTGTGTTTGTATTAAAAATGTTTAAGAATATATAAGTTTGATTTAAATTGAAAACTTATCACCAAAATATATGTTATAAAAATTTCGCACGTCTTTAAATGTTATTTACTGTTAAGTTTTAAACGTATAATGTACAACACGAGGGTAACTGTAGAGTAGCTCGGTGGCGTAGTGGATAAGCGCCGCAGCCCGTGAACGTGGTCGTTAAGCAATTTTCGCAAGGGTCGGTCACGGGATGGGTGACTAAAAAATTAATATCTCAAGCTACTCCGTGCTTCGGAAGGCACGTTAAGCCGCTGGTCCCGGCTGCATTTGCAGTCGTTAATAACCTCCAATCCGCATTGGGCCAGCGTGGAGAGTAAAAGGGCGTAAAAGGGCTGATGATAATAATGTACAACTCACACAGGGACTTTTTGGGTGATGTGTCGTATCCTGTTTATTCACTGATTTTTACACTTTTTCTTCTATTGGCTGTAATTTATAATCTTGTAGTTTGAGCTTTGAGGGTAACTGTAATCAATAGACATTAAATATTATTTTAACACTTTTTTACTTTTTATCAAATGATCAGAAAAAATAATATTCTTTTCATGTAAAGTATTTACTCACATATTTTCGTCACACAACAGTGTAAGCCAATTTTTACAATGACAGCAACAAGCAACAAAAGTTAGCCCTATATGTGGGTTACGTTATCAAAATATTTCTGAAAATTAGGAATTCATGTAAAAATCTGGTTTAAAGCAGTAATCTATTATTCATTTTTTAAATATAAATCGGTTTCAGTTTGCTACTTGCAGCGTAAAAATTCCAATATCACTCATATATGAAAAGTCATTCATTCGATGTTTTTACACGGCGTCTGCTGCAGCTAAGTCCACTTCACCGAAATACACATCACTACACTTCATATTAACTCAACTAATGTAGTCTCTCTCCTCAACAGAAAACTTTATTAAACAATAAAATTAAACTTTGAACCATTTAGCTTCTCACTTTTTGAGGTCTCGAGCATGAGGTGTAAATACAAATAACACGTAATGTTATCTTAGATTAATAATATTAATCAGTTGAAGTAAAATAACGCGAAAAGAGAAAAAAATAAAAATAATGTAATGTAAAATTAGAAATAACTTAAAAAAAATACCTATATACTGAAGAAACAAATTAATAACCAAAAACATTAATTCTGCGTAAGAAAATATTTTTTCAATAACAATATGTAATGAGGAAGTATTTAAAAAAATAAAATTTAGTTCTTAAAATCATACTAGATGCCACTAGCGATGTTTGGATATTGTCTATGATATTCATTGAAATTTTGTTTCTGACGTAATAAACGTAAATTGAATATCAAAAATAAATAAATATGACATCGTTTTGTGTTTCTAATAACATCTAACTTTCAAATTAATTTTACTTTATTTTTTTAATCGTAAGTTTAAGTTATTTATTATGTTACGTGTAAAGGAAAGATGTTTGGTTTATATGTCAACATTAGTGATGAGCCAACTTATGGAATCAACAAAGAGTAATGTAATATAAAAAAGGAATCAAGAACAAAAACATAGCACAGAATTAAGCTTGTTTTTTATGTGCAGTATTTCCATATGTGCTATTATGCAATATCGAATTATATTGTTATAAATCTATTCCGTCTAGGCTGTTACGTAGTACTTGTGAAAGTTGAAAACTTTAAGTAAAACTAAGGCGGGAGATCTGGAATGACAAAAAAAATTACATGACTTAATAGAATTAATATATAAATATTTATAAAATAAATATTTAGTTGCACAGTCTCAGATCGAAGGGCATATTAGGTCTGCCACAAAGTTGGTTGACCTATGCAATTACAACGGTGACCGTTATCATTCACTGTTAAATAATAAACAATTAATTTACGAATCAAATAACAGCTTTACAAGAACAATAACAATAATAATATTCAGAAACAATTTAAAAATACAGTTGAATAGAAACCCTGTCAGTCATCTGCCCACCAGCCACAACTGTATACTCAGATACCTGTTCAGTCATCTGTCACTGATGAATGTTCCCCACAATTTTCCCAACGCCACTCAATAAATTCACAAAATTATAAAAAAAATATTTTAAACTTCAGTAATGAAATTGGCAAAAACTTGGGCCATTCAACATTAAACTTCTGTATACCTAATTCCTCTTTTAGTTATATTTTAGAAAAAGCAATTAAACAAAACTACAGCGAAAATACCACTTTAATGTTTTTTATTAGCAATAGAGATAGGTACTTTGAACAAACATAAACTACTGAAATATATAAACGAATTAAATTCACTAAGTGTAGGGAAAGTCGTGATTTTTACATTGCCGTATTGCAATAGTTTGTCCAGTGAAGATAATAATATAATAATAATATTGCGATACAAACTGAATATGACATTGCACACTACATGCAATACTGCATAGTTTCATGTCATTGACACTAACAAGTATGTTAGAAAATTATATTTGATTAAAGATAAATATTATCTTTCCAATTATTATATTACACAGATAGCTATTTCGCTATCTTATTTTTTTTCTATAACAACCAAAAATTAGGCTAACCAGATTGCTTCTATCGAGCACTATTCTATTGACATGACTGTCAGTAATAATCCTCCTAGCATTGCGACAAATTCGTCTTTAAATTAGATATTAAGATAGAAATCATCATCGCCATCTTTCATTAATTTCATTTTCATTTTACATGTAGAAATTAATTTATTCACTTGACATTGGCAAAATTGTGCGAAATGCGCATTTAAGCCATTAATAAATGAAGAAGTAGATATAAAGATAACAGAGGATTCCTCTTGCTTGCTATTGAATAGACAAAGTAATAATGGAACCAAGAGTTTATCAGTCATCAACCTAGTGCACCAAAATGTTCAAGGAATGTTGAGTAAAGAGTTAGAAGTAGAATTATTCATGAACTGTAACAATGTTGATATTGTCTGTATTACGGAACATTTGGTTAACAAGTTATAATTGCATTTTTAACTTCAATAATCACCTGGAGGCCTACTCGCTTTCTCGAAAACGAAATTTCGTTTACGAACGAAATTAAAACGAAATTTCGCATGTAACGCTACTCTTTATCATTTTCGTATACACCAACGAATGTTCGATTCCAAAGACAATTTTCGTGATTGATTGGAGTGAATGGCGTTATTGGATTTCTTATAATGTCAAATTCCGGTTTGACTACTACTAATACCGTAAAATGGGGTGAATAGGGACAATTCCCAACTTTATGAACAATTTTAAGATAATTGTTGAAGGATATATTGCTATATCAGGATCAAAATGATTGAGTCTTGGTGGTATCTTTGAAATCTTATTTAAAACTATGCAATAAAGATTCCAGTTTAAGCTAAAATGGCAAAAATAGATGCTATCCCTATTTACCCAGAAATTGGGGTTAATGGGGACGGAA